GAAGTTGTATGTCAATGCTTGTCTGAAACTAAGAAAAATAAACATGCTTACTTTTTCATTCATTTAATAAATCAGCTTTTATTGAGTTCCCACTCTGGCACCTATATGAATTTCTTGGAATATTCAAATTAGATGTAGTCCCTATTTTTGAAGAGATCATGACCCAGCGGGTGAGACAGACAAATAAGCAGATCCCTAGTGTCCTATAAGAACTATTATTTCAGTGTACACAGAGAGCTTTGAAGGCACAGAGAAAGGCTCCAAACTTACGCTTGTGGGAGCCTGTTTAAGACCTGTAGGACAGGCCTGAAAGGTATTTTGAAGGATGGTAGGAGTTGGCCAAGAAAAGGAGAGAAGGGAAGGATATTTGGAGCTGAGGGACATAGCATTATGGAGTGAAGAGGCAAGAATGCATGGTCACGTGCAGAACTGCAACTCCTTGGATGTAACCTGAATTTAGGATTGGAGTAGAGTGGGAGTAGTGGTGAGAAAGAAAGCTTTATGGTAAGATCCTAACTTTTCATTTATTGAGTGGTTTTTATGTACTAAGTACTTTACATGTGTTATGTCATTTAATTATCTTTAATTAATAGACTTTATTTCTTTCAGCAGTTTTAGGTTCACAAAAATTGAGTGGAAAGTGCAGAGGGTTCCTATATACACCCTGTTCCTGTACATATACAACCTCCTCAACTATTAATATCCTGCACCAGAGTGGTACATTTGTTACAACTGATAAACCTACATTGACACGTCATTCACTCAGAGCCCATAGTTGACACTGCAGTTCACCCTTGGTGGTGTGTATTCTATGGATTTTGACAAATGTGTACTGACGTGTGTCTACCATCGTAACATTGTACAGAATAGTTTTCGCTTCCCTACAGTCCTCTGAGCTCTGCTTTTTCATCCCTGCCTCCCCTAACCCCTGGCACCCATTGATCTTTTTACCGTCTCCATAGTTTTGCCCTTTCCAGAATGTCATATAGTTGGAATCATATACCGTATACCTTTTCAGATTGGCTTCTTTCACTTAGTAATATGCACTTAAGGTCCCTCCATGTCTTTTCATGGCTCGATAGCTCATTTCTTTTTATCATTGAATACTGTTCCATTGTTTGGATGTACCACAGTTAGTTTACCCATTCACCTCCTGAAGGACATCTTAGTTACTTTCAAGTTTTGGCAATTATAAGGGAGCTGCTCTAAACATCTGTGTGCAAGTTTTTTTGTGGATAGATTTTCAACTCCTTGGGGTAAACACCAAAGAGTGTGATTACTGGATCACGTGGTAAGAGTATGTTTAGTTTTTTAAGAAATTGCCAAACTATCTTACAAAGTAGCTGTGCCATTTTGCTCCTACCAGCAAAGAATAAGAGCTCCTATTGCTCCACATTCTCACCAGCATTTGGTGTTTTGGATTTTGGCCATTCTTCTAGGTGTGTAGTGGTATCTCACTGTTGCATAATTTGCGACTCCCTAATGATGTGTGATGTGGAGCATCTGTTCATATATACAATTGCCATCTGTATATCTTCTTTGGTGAGGTGTCTGTTCAGATCTTCATCCATTTTTTAATCAGGTTGTTTGTTTTTTCCCCCTGCTGGAAGCATGAGGGGATTTTTCTCAAATATTCACTGTGAGAACCTGGTCAAACTCCTGAAGGCAAAACTCACAAAAGTATGGATACCCGCTATGGCTGGGTTCCTTTGGAGTTTTAACTCTCAGACCGTCCACACTGAGCTTCCAGCAATTCCTCAATTACAGTTTAGGTTTTCCTACCTGGGCGCTGGTTCCCGTGGATTTTCTGCTTATAAGTTGTGATTCGCTGTATTCACCTGTCTGTCTCTCCAAATTTTGGGGGCAGCAGTTTACCCTGCGACCTCACTTCTCTGATCAGTCTAAGAAGGGTTGTTGATTTTTCTGTTTGTTCAGCTTTTTACTTGTTGCTAGGACACACTGGCAACTTCTAGGCTCCTTATGTGCTAGACCAGAAGCCATAAGTTCGGTTTTTAATATTAAAACATAGGTTTATTATTTTCTTCATTTTATATAAAGTTAGAGTGAACATGTAACTTATTCTTCAAATAGGAAGTCTTTTGAGAGTTAAAGGGGGATGTTATTAATAATTATCCCAGTCATCAAATGTTAATCATGGTGGTGTGGTTCCTCTGTTGGTGTGGTTCCACCTGATGAGGAAACTAATGTCTCACAGCTAATAAGGGGCACAGGTGGGACTTGAACCCAAACAGCCTGATCCTTGAGTCAGTGCTCTTAGCCTCTATGCTACATAAGAATCAGAGTTCTGAAGCGCCTTTTGCGTCTTTTCAAGGTCTTAGTCAGAGCTCACAAGCACTCATCACTGTGGCTATTCTTTAGTGAAGGGAAGCTTGATTGAAACACCATACCATGCACTATTTGTTAGCTCTTAATTTATTGTTTTTATTTTCCTTTTAGTTGAAGGGCAACAATTTTATTAAATTAATCTTTACTTATTATTGTACATAAACTTTTCTAAATCTGGAAGTTCTTCTTCCCAGAAATTTGGACTTGAAAGAAACATCTAAACTTTTAGTTATATAAATAGGTCCAGATGATGTAACTAACTTGCCAAATAACAGCTAAGCACCTGTGGAATCTAGCTAAGAATTGGGAGGCAGAAAAGTATAGCGATTAAATATGGAATTAGCTTGCCTGGATTCCACACCCTGCAGGCTGGGAGCCTTTAGGCAAGCTTATTTTTCCTCTCCAAGTTACACTTCCCTCATCTGTGTAATTGAGAAAATAATAATACCTATGTCATAGAATTGTTGTTTGAGTCCTGGATGAGACTGGCACTTAATCAGACTCCATAAATGGTCTCTGTTATTATTTTTATCTAAGTCTTTACATTCCCAGTGGAGTGCTTTTGAAACATGCTGTCTTTGCATCTCTTCTGGCAAAGGCTTTTTGAGATCTCTCAGTATAGATCTCGTCAGCCAGCAGGAGTTCGTTGATTATTTTAAGCTGCCGATAAATGTGAAAAAGAAACTTATTTCCTTTGCCATTTCTGGTACACCACTGAGCACAGACTCCTCTGCCTTTTCAGAAATAAGAGAGTAGTAAAAGAAGATAGTTTTAAAATTCAACATTTATTTTTATTAATGTTGTAAAGGTACATAGCTTTAAGAAAAAAATCAGTCCCAAAGACTTTTAATAAAACCTATCAGTCTTTTGCCCACTCCCAGTGACTCTTGATTACTGATTTCCAGAGGCTCCCACTTTCAACCCTTTTAGCTTTCTTTTGGTATTTGCCTCCATAATTCTATGTAATCTGTTTATACTGCTATTTCTTGATTTTTTATTTTTAGATATTCTCTTTTGACTTCCTACTGTGGAGGAGAAGGATTTAGCTGGCTTATAGTCCCTCTCGCATACTCACATATACTTACATGTGCATATATACACTTACCCCCCATTCTACTAATATAATTATACCATCGTATTTTGCTAAATGAATGTTTGTGACTCTGAAAATATTACTCACAGCTGAGCCATGTGGTAAATTATGATAATAGTTTCTCTCTGGCATGATGCTGTCTTCTTTGAAGTTGACTCTTGTGTTTTTGTTCATTTGCCTGGTCTTCTGTTTATCTAATGCGAATGCATTCCCAGCCTCTCCTGCAGATGTCTAAATCTCTTCATACCTTTGAAAGTATTAGGCATTATGAACCCTATGACTTTCTTTTTTTTTTTTTTGAGGAAGATTAGCCCCATCTATCTACTGCCAATCCTCCTCTTTTTTCTGAGGAAGCCTGGCCCTGAGCTAACATCCGTGCCCATCTTCCTCTACTTTATATGTGGGATGCCTACCACACCATGGCATGCCATGTGGTGCCATGTCCACACCCGGGATCCGAACTGGTGAACCCTGGAACCAGACTGCCTCAACTGACCTCGCGTATGACCTTGGGAAAGTTATTTAATCTCTCTGCCTTAGTTTCCTCATCTTACAAAAATAGTCGTTGGAGTACTTTTTAGAATTAAATAATTTAAGACATGTAAATGTTTAAAACCATAGCTGGCTTTATAAATGTTAGCCATTATTATTTTAGCGTGGTTTTATGTAAAAGATAAAGGCTTGTGCTCAGATAACCATGTTTAATTGGAAGTCCAAAGAAATGCACTTAAAAATATGAATCACTAGACAAATCTTGTTGATTTTATCCAATGATGGAAGCACAGGACAAATACGTTGTATCTTATATGCTACATAAAATGTCTAGGTTTTTACATTATTTTACTACTGAAAGGAACCTTGGAGATCACAATTTCTAACTCTTTATTTCACAGATGAGGAAAACTGAGACCCAAAGAGTTAAGTGACTTGTCTTGAGACTAGAATCTCAGCCTCAGAATTCCTAATTAGGTCTTCTTTCCATTAAGTTGTATTTCCTTCTCTAAAAATCAGTGAATGCTGCTAGACGTGCAAGTTTATTTTTGGTAATGACACTATCCTATCACTAATTTTCTTTTTTTAAATTTTTTTGACTTCAGGCACTCAGCTGGATCAATAATAAGCTTGGTTTATGACACACTCTCATCATTGGTCCATGTATAGCATATTCATTTGTTTGTTTTTAATAATGTAATACATAAAAAATCGAAAACATCCATATTGTGTGCAGTACCTGGGAGGAAAATTTCAACGTATAATTTCCATGCATGCATGGTACAAAAATAAACTCATAAATTTAACAATATTTTGGTGATACAGCTATTTGTTTTTTCTCTGTTGAATCAAAAGTTATCTTATGGATGGGCGATTTTGCAACTCTCTGCCTCATCCTCTTGAAATTCACCAGACTGGGGTAGCAGTGGCTTAGAAAACAAAGTACCACAGAGAGGAATGGGAAAAGGACCAGAACATGAGTGCTTTACAGTTAGCAGGAGACACACATATCTCTAAAATATGTTGGTCTTCTGCAAATTGTGTGATGTTGGGTTTGTTTGTGATACAGGTCTAAGAACCATTGGAGTCATTACCAAACTGGATCTTATGGATGAAGGAACAGATGCCAGGGATGTTCTAGAGAACAAGCTGCTGCCTCTTCGCAGGGGTAATGTATTGTATCCTGTAGCAGACTTCCTTTGATGATGTGGCGGAGAAACAGTTGGGTAACCAATGAGAGGCTTGGTTTTAATATCTCCACAGTTGTGAGGAATGGATTTATGATTAGTTATACTTTTATAGAATGGAACAGTGTTCCCAAATGATGTATTAAAAATGATCCAGAGGGAGAACCATTCCTTAAAATAACAGGAATAAGAAAACGGGAAAAGGAAAGGGTTTGAAGGGAGGGTATAAATATTCATCCTAGACTGCATAAATATATACTGTAGTAAGTCTGACTTATTTACTTGTCTGCTATATGACCAAACTGCTAAGAGACATACTCTGTTAAAACGCACAGAGCTTTAAAGGCAAAAGACATTATTGTGTTCATGCTAAAAAATTATCCTTAGCCAAATCAGCCAGTCTTTGTTAAATACTGATGTCTCAAGTTGAGTTCTAGAAAGGGACTCATTCCTCAGGCCTTAAAATAATTTTGCCTTTCTTATTCAGCCTCTTTGGGAGCCTTGAAATCTCCCCAGAATAAGTGAGAAAAAGTGTCCCAAACTCCATAGGTGTGTGTTTTGTTTCAGGTTACGTGGGGGTTGTAAACAGAAGCCAGAAGGACATAGATGGAAAGAAGGACATTAAAGCTGCCATGTTGGCAGAAAGGAAATTTTTTCTCTCGCACCCGGCTTACAGACATATTGCTGATCGGATGGGGACCCCACACCTGCAGAAGGTCCTTAATCAGGTAAAAATGTTTTTTCAAGGAAAATAACAATTATGAAATGTGTAAGTGACTATTGGAATTCATAATTCTTGTTTTTGTATTCACTTTTTAATAAAATAAGACATTCAGCTTAAATGATAGGAATTTAAAAAATTAATATGAATACTTTGATCCACACTGTTACTATTTTCCGTGATAGAATTCACCTTAATATTATTGAAGGAGCAGTGCACAAAGCAGAAATGCATACTTATTTAGGAACAGTGAACAGGAGTAGACATTTTAGCATACATATATTCATGATATGTAGTTATCTTAAGTTAAACTTGTATATCTCTGAAAAGTTGATCTCTTGGGATCTGTCTTTGAAATATCAATCTGCAATGGTTAGGTTAGATTTTCTGTTAAAATTTCTTTGTGGTTTTGTTTGATTTGTTCCTCAATTTAAAGTCTTGAAAATAAATCCTCGTATGCAGTCATTGATCCCTCTTCGTCTAAGAAGCTTCTGCAGATAACCCCTTGCTCCACAACAGATGGAACTGGGCTGTCTGCCTCCCACTACTCCATGCACGCACATACTTCTTCCATAAAACCTCAGCGCACTTACTTGGTTGCATATTTTCCTTCCCCTGGTGGAGTTAAGTATTGTTGTCATCGAGGGCAGGGCCCCCTTCCTGAGTTTTGATTACATTGACTCAAATGCTGAGCAGTTTTTCTCACATCTAGTCTCATAAGGTATGCTTTACTTTTATCTATGAACTTAGTCAGTCAGTCAATCAAGTAGTTATCGATGATGTTCTGATTGTTCGTGCCTAGAAGGTGTCAGGTGTCAGTAGAGACTAACACAATAGTAGGCTACTGGTGGCAGTGTACCTGAACTGTTTAGACAAAATGATTGAAGAAGTTAGAAAATAAAAAGCAGTGGTATACTTCTGTTTTAAGCCGCATAGCGTAATGTGGAATTTGTACCTTTTTTTTTTTTTATTAAGGTCATGATAGTTAACAACCTTGTGAAATTACAGTTGTACATCATTATTGGTCATGTTGTAGGTACACCACTTCACCCCTAGTGCCCTCTCCCCACCTCCCTTTCCACTGGTAACCACTGATCAGTTCTCTTTGTCCATATGTTAACTACCACCTATGAGTGGAGTCATACAGAGTTCGTCTTTCTCTGTCTGGCTTATTTCACTCAACATAATACCCTCAAGGTCTATCCATGTTGTTGTGAATGGGACGACTTTGTTCTTTTTTATGGCTGAGTAGTATTCCATTGTATATATATATACCATATCTTCTTTATCCAGTCATCAGTTGCTGGGCACTTAGGTTGGTTCCATGACTTGGCTATTGTGAATAATGCTGCGATGAACATAGGGGGTGCATGGAACTTTTGGAATTGCTCATTTCAGGTTCTTAGGATAGATACCCAGTAGTGGGATGGCTGGGTCATAAGGTATTTCTGTTCTTAACTTTTTGAGGAATCTCCATACTGTTTTCCATAGTGGCTGCACCAGTTTGCATTCCCACCAGCAGTGTATGAGGGTTCCTTTTTCTCCACAGCCTCTCCAACATTTGTCACTCTTGGTTTTGGATATTTTTGCCATTCTAACAGGTGTAAGGTGATATCTTAGTGTAGTGACGATGAGCATCTTTTCATGTGTCTATTGGCCATCCGTATATCTTCTTTGGAGAAATGTCTGTTCATGTCCCCTGCCCATTTTGTAATTGGGTGGTTTGATTTTTTATTGTTGAGTTGTGTGAGTTCTTTGTATATTATGGAGATTAACCCTTTGTCGGATAAATAACTTGTAAATATTTTTTCCCAATTAGTGGGCTGTTTTTTTGTTTTAATCCTGTTTTCCCTCACCTTGAAGAAGCTCTTTAGTCTGATGAAGTCCCATTTGTTTATTCTTTCTATTGTTTCCCTCATGTGAGGGGTTATGGTGTCCGAAAAGATTCTTTTGAAGCTGATGTCAAAGAGTGTACTGCTGATATTCTCTTCTAGAAGACTTATTGTTTCAGGCCTAATCTTTAGGTCTTTGATCCATTTTGAGTTTATTTTAGTAAATGGTGAAAAAGAATGGTTGATTTTCATTCTTTTACATGTGGCTGTCCAGTTTTCCCAGCACCATTTGTTGAAGAGACTTTCTTTCCTCCATTGTAGGCCCTCAGCTCCTTTGTCAAAGATTAGCTGTCCATAGATGTGTGGTTTTATTTCTGGGCTTTCAATTCTGTTCCATTGATCTGTGCATCTGTTTTTGTACCAGTACCATGCTGTTTTGATTACTGTAGCTTTGTAGTATGTTTTGAAGTCAGGGATTGTGATGCCTCCAGCTTTGTTCTTCTTTCTCAGGACTGCTTTAGCAATTCGGGGTCTTTTGTTGCCCCATATGAATTTTAGGATTCTTTTTCAATTTCTGTAAAGAATGACATTGGAATTCTGATTGGGATAACGTTGAATCTGTAGATTGCTTTAGGTAGTATGGACATTTTAACTATGTTTATTCTTCCAATCCATGTGCATGGAATGTCTTTCCATCTCTTTATGTCGTCGTCGATTTCTTTCAAGAAGGTCTTGTAGTTTTTGTTGTTTAGATCTTTCACTTCCTTGGTTAAATTTATCCCAAGGTATTTTATTCTTTTTGTCGCGATTGTGAATGGGATTGAGTTCTCGAGATCTTTTTCTGTTAGTTTATTGTTAGCATTTAGAAATGCTACTGATTTATGTATGTTGATTTTATACCCTGCTACTTTGCTGTAGTTGTTGATTGTTTCTAATAGTTTTTGTATGGATTCTTTGGGGTTTTCTATATATAAGATCATGTCATCTGCAAACAGTGAGAGTTTTAATTCTTCGTTGCCTATTTGGATTCCTTTTATTTCTTTTTCCTGCTGAATTGCTCTGGCCAAAACCTCCAGTACTATATTGAATAAGAGTGGTGAAAGTGGGCACCCTTGTCTTGTTCCTGTTCTGAGAGGGATGGGTTTCAGTTTTTGTCCGTTGAGTATGATGTTGGCTGTGGGTTTGTCATATATGGCCTTTATTGTGTTGAGGTACTTTCCTTCTATACCTATTTTATTGAGGGTTTTTATCATAAATGGATGTTGGATCTTGTCAAATGCTTTCTCTGCATCTGTTGAGATGATCATGTGGTTTTTGTTTCTCATTTTGTTAATGTAGTGAATCACGTTGATTGACTTGCGGATGTTGAACCATCCCTGTGTCCCTGGTATAAATCCCACTTGATCATGGTGTATAATCTTTTTGATGTATTGCTGTATTTGGTTTGCCAAAATTTTGTTGAGGATTTTTGCATCTATGTTCATCAGTGATATTGGCCTGTAGTTTTCCTTCTTTGTGTTGTCCTTGTCACGTTTGGGGATCAGGGTGATGTTGGCTTCATAGAATGTATTAGGGAGTACTCTATCTTCCTCTATTTTCTGGAATAGTTTGAGAAGGATAGGTATTAAATCTTCTTTGAATGTTTGGTAGAATACTCCAGAGAAGCCGTCTGGTCCTGGACTCTTATTTTTGGGGAGGTTTTTGATTACTGTTTCTATTTCTTTGCTTGTGATTGGTCTATTCAGATTCTCTATTTCTTCCTGATTCAGTTTGGGTAGGTTGTATGAGTCTAGGAATTTATCCATTTCTTCTAGGTTGTTCAATTTGTTGGCATATAGTTTTTCATAGTATTCTCTTATGATCCTTTGTATTTCTTCAGTATCTGTTGTGATTTCTCCTCTCTCGTTTCTAATTTTATTTATTTGAGACTTCTCTCTTTTTTTTTTTTAGTGAGTCTGGCTAAGGCTTTCTCGATTTTGTTAATTTTTTCGAAGAACCAACTCTTTGTTTCATTGATCCTTTCTATTGTCTTTTTTGTTTCAAAATCATTTATTTCTGCTCTAATTTTTATTATTTCCCTCCTTCTACTGACTTTGGGCTTTGTTTGTTCTTCTTTTTTTAATTCCGTTAGGTGTTGTTTGAGGTTGTTTATGTAAGATTTTTCTTGCTTATTGAGGTGAGCCTGTATTGCAATGAATTTCCCTCTTAGGACTGCCTTTGCTGCGTCCCAAATAATTTGGTATGGTGTGTTTTCATTTTCATTTGTCTCCAGATAATATTTGATTTCTTCTTTAATTTCTTCAATAATCCATTGTTTGTTCAGTAGCATGTTGTTTAGTCTCCACATTTTTGGCTCTTTCCCAGCTTTATTCTTGTAGTTGATTTCTAGTTTCATAGCATTATGATCAGAAAAGATGCTTGATATTATTTCAGCCCTCTTGAACTTATTGATGCTTGCTTTGTTTCCCAAGATATGGTCTATCCTTGAGAATGTTCCATGGGCGCTTGAGAAGAATGTGTAACCTGCTGTTTTTGGATGAAGTCTCCTATATATATCTATTAGGTCCATCTGATCTAATTTTTCATTTAATTCTATAATTTCCTTGTTGATTTTCTGTCTGGATGATCTGTCCATTGGTGTTAATGGGGTGTTGAGGTCCCCTACTATTATTGTATTGCTGTTGATGTCTCCTTTTAGTTTTGTTAATAGTTTCTTTACGAATTTTGGTGCTCCTGTGTTAGGTGCGTATATATTTATAAGTGTTATGTCATCTTGGTGGAGAGTCCCTTTTATCATTATATACTGCCCCTCTTTGTCTTTCTTTATCTGTTTTGTTTTGAAGTCTACTTTGTCTGATATAAGTATGACAACACCTGCTTTCTTTTGTTCATTATTAGCTTGGAGTATTGTCTTCCATCCCTTCACTTTGAGTCTGTGTTTGTCTTTGGGGCTGAGGTGTGTCTCCTGGGGGCAGCATATTGTTGGATCTTATTCTTTGATCCATCCTGCCACTCTGTGCCTTTTGATTGGAGAGTTCAATCAATTCACGTTTAGAGTGATTATTGAAATGTGGGGGCCTACTGTTGCCATTTTATCACTTGTTTTCTGGTTCTTTTGCATTTTGTCCTGATGGAGAGCTGTTACTTTGTGTTATTGTCCTTCTGCTTATCTCCT